TTAATTGGTTTGAGTGTGATCCTGGCGTCGACACAGGCTACACGGAGGCGGGCTTCGAAATTTGCTGCTAGCTCGGAGTGGGTGATTAGGAGACAAGAGCGGTTGTGGTTGACCTTCAGAGTTTCGATGTCTCTGAGGAGGAGGTGGCTGGTTAAAATAGCATAGAACTGCTTTTGGGTTGCGACGGGTTGGGGGATGTTCTGAATTGTGTATTTGAAGAGGTCTGGGTTGGGTGTGGTGGAGCGGAGGGTTGTTACAGATTCGGCCGGGGATGATCGACCTGAACCCGTTGAGACCGAGGTCATCGACTGTGTCGGAGAGGTGGTCTGGGCGGTGGGTTTGGGTTGGTTGTGGAGGAGGGCATGAATATAATTTGGATTTGACCCACCTGGTGTTGTCGTTATCGGCATCGTGGTTTGAGTTGATGACGTGGGGGCTGCTGCTGATGTTGGGGCTGCCGGGGGGGCGGCTGGTGGAGCTACGGCTGCGGTGATGGCTGCTGTGGCTGCTGCTGCTGGGGAGCGGGCTGCGGCGCGGCCTGACGTGGCGGGTGGCTTCGTCGGCGGGGCCTTGACGGTGGTGGAGTTGCTGCGGAGACTGCGGCTACTAGAAGGCATCCTTCTTCTTCGATGCGGAGATCGAAACTCACGAGTCTCCCGAACCGCGCCACTTTTATGGACTTGCGTCAGCTCCGCCCACCAGTTCGGCACGATTCCAGGATTCTCATTGGTTGCAGCGCTCTGATGTTTTGATCCGGTAACACTATTTTACTGTGTACTCTTTGGTGATAACAGCATCCGCCTCCAATGGGAAGTCCGGCGAGCACTGCTCAATCTTAGGAACGAGCAGTGGGAACAACGACTAGAATCCCTGAACACCGTGGACGGATCGACCTGGAAAATGGCCAAAGCGCTGAGAAGCGACAAGCGGCCACTTCCACCGATCCACAGCGCGAACAACGGCATCGTCTTCACAGAAGAGGACAAAGCCGCCGCCTTCGCTCACAGTCTGGAGAACCAATGCCAGACGAACATCGACCCTGATGCAGATGACGAGCACCTGGACCTCGTCGAGGAAACCGTCGAAGAAATTCGAATGGCAGAACCCGACGAAGACGACCAGATCCGCGAAGTCCATCCCGACGAAATCCGCGAAATCATCCGACTCCTCAAACCCAGGAAAGCCCCAGGCCCAGATGGCATCCCGAACAAAGCATTGAAGAACCTCTCCGACGAAGCCATCGTCGCACTAGCAGGTATCATTAATGCAATGTTTAAATTCCGTATTTTTCCAGCTAGGTGGAAAGAAGCCCACGTCATTTTCATCCCGAAACCGGGGAAAAATCACATTTTCCCGGAAAATCATCGACCCATCAGTCTCCTCTCGTCCGTGGGGAAGATCGCTGAACGTGTGATTCGGAAACGGCTAGCTGAGTTCGTCAACGAACGAGGCGTAGTCCCCGATGAACAGTTCGGTTTTCGCCCCCAACACTCAACCTCCGAACAACTCCTCCGAGTAGTCGAATTCGCCGCAAAATCAATTGAATGGAAACAATTGACTGGCGCGGTGTTCCTCGACGTTGCGAAGGCTTTCGACACCGTCTGGCATGATGGACTTGTTTACAAGCTTCACCAAGCAGGCGTGCCGTTGGCGATGGTGCAGCTCATCCAATCTTTCCTGGATTCCCGCACGTTTAAAGCACGCATTGGGCACGCTTTATCTGCGGAGCATCCAATTAGCGCAGGAGTCCCCCAGGGCTCGGCGCTTTCCCCGCTCCTGTACGCGGTTTTCACCGCGGACATACCCAAACTCCCCCGAACTAGCCTTGCGATCTACGCGGACGACACGGCTATCCTTACGCGCTCCAAAATGCCGCACCTCGTAACCTCCTACTTACAGGAGGCCGTGGATGCGCTGGAGGAGTGGTGCAAACGATGGCTCATTACAGTCAATCCAGAAAAGAGCACTGCGCTTCTTATCTCGAAAAGACGTACTGGGCCTGAAGGAAACGTCACGATGTTTAACCGGGTCATCCCTTGGCGGAGCCAAGCAAAATACCTAGGTGTCATCGTCGACAAACGGCTGTCCTTTATCCCTCATATTGACTACATCGTGGCCAATACGAACAAGATAAAGGGTTCGTTGTCTGCGCTGATCGGAAGGCGCAGTAAGGTGTCGATCAGGAACAAGTTGTTGCTGTATCGCGCCATCATCCGCCCCACCATGTCCTATGCTTCAGTGGCCTGGAGCTATGAACCCTCCAAAACCCAGTTCCACCGTCTGGAAGTCATCCAGACGAAAATTCTCCGACAGGTTTTCAAAGCCCCATGGTTCGTCAGAAACGCCCAACTGCTCCGAGAGGCCAACCTCCCGCCGCTGAAGGAGTTCCTGCACGAAGTCGCCCTCCGAGCCTTCAGGAAAGCTGAAGAGCACCCCAACCCCCTGGTGCGAGAAGCCGTCGACTACGAGTTCGACGAGGAAGCCCCCCCCAGTCGCAAGCGGCCCCGTAGGGCGCTGCTTGAAGACCGAATCGGCAAGTAACACCACCTGCCGTCTCCACCGACCGGCCTTTCCCGGCCTTCCCAACTTCCCGACCGCATCGCCTCCAAGGTGTTGCACATCTAACGCCAGCGCATAGCGCATTTTTCTGTTTCAGATCTCTCCACCGGCCGCAGGACCGCGAGGAAGAGCCGACGATGGGGGCCAACCCCTAGGCAATCAATAGCTCAACCGAGCTCGGTAGCGCAGCCCCCGCTGTGTCTACCGGGATGCGCGTTGTGGGTGTAAGGGACAATGTCCTGGTACCCGAGCAGAAGAAGGAGGGGTTTTAGGGCGGTAACCATTCCCCCAGTACCACCGTAGGCCGCAGAAGAGGCCAAGAACCATTACGGTGGTCTGCGTAGACATTTCCCCTCCACCAAAAAAAAAAAAAAAAAAAAAATCGTGGCAGTCGGCAGCGAGGACTAGAGGAAGAAGAAGCCATCCAACCACCTCGGGGACCTGGAGGAAGACCACTCCGGCGCTGGTGCGGCCGGCCGGCGACCCAAGGAATCCACTCCAGGGGCCCCCGTGACTCGTTACGCTAGTTCTGCGTTTTCTTTCAACACCTTTTTTCCCGCTCCTAATTTCGCAACCTCTCGAGCGCACGTCTTTCTCAAGACGGAGCCCGTCGTCGTGGGGTGGGTTCCACCACGTCCAGAAGCCGGTCCCGTAACAATAGTGAGTACATCTGTAGGCGAAAACGTCACGTAATACAAAGAAGAGCTCCACATGCATGAAAAATCTGAGTCAAGTTATTCATTCACATTATTTCGCTTTACATTTAAAAGTTTTCATTCAGTGAATATAGATAGATACTTAATTTTCATAATCTCTTGTTAGTTTTGTTTTATAATAAATGATCATGAGATTTTAAGGCTGTATAACAGCAGTTCTTTTCTTAGAGTTGTAATCTATATTTGGGATAATTAAAGTTAATTCATCTCGTGTCGTGTTCATGGCTTTTGTTATAATTTAGAAAATAATATTGATTTTTATGTAAAAATCAATATTATTTTAATAATAACTGATAAATGAATAAGTCTACCACAGTCAACAGGTTGCACTTTATAAGTTTCTACACATTCCTCTACATGGAAAGCGATTATTCTTCTGGAGTGCCCGGGAATGTCCATCGCGATTTCCGTTTTCAGCCTTTTGTCTATTCGAACGCCACTGTCATCGATGATGTGTCACCATCGTCCACCCCGTTCATCGCCGTACGTACTAGAAAACCTACAGGTGTCGTACAGGGGCGGCAGATTGGCTTATTTCGCAACAGTATTTTTTTATAGTGTATAATGACTTTTTGTTAGCTTTTTCATTACGTAAATACGTAAAAAATTATATTTGAAACCGCAGTTATCGTTACCATTGCTGTCCAAGTACTTACTTGTTTCTCCATCGTGTTGGTGGTGGTACTGGATTTAATAAATAACTTACATCGTCTTTCTCAAATTTAACAAATTGTTGCCGATTTTCAAAGTAGAATGCAATCCATTTCTAGTTTGTTTAAAAGTATATTTTTATCAAGAGAGTCAAACACCTTTGATAGATCCAGAAAGCAGCCTACAGTATATTTTTTCTCTTCTAAAACATCAATTAAAGTTTGCATAAAGTCAAAAATGGCCGTCTTTGTTGTTTTTCTCCTTAAAAAGTCTTGTTGATGTTTGCTAAACGGGTTAAATTAATTTAAAAAAGCTTACAACTCTTATATTCGTTTTCTAATCATTTTTGGTATTGTAAAGTGGGTTGATATAGTATTGTGGGTTGTCTGATTTGTCTATATAATCACAGTATTTTTGAGCAGATGGGTAAGCAGAATGAGCAGATTTTAAAGAAACTTTTAATTGCATGTAATATTATTATTCCAAGACTTAAGACAAAATAACTCGATAATAAAAAGAGGAACTAAAGCAGTATATAAATATACAAAATGTAAACTTTGCTCGTAAATCGTGTCACTAAATTAGCACTGACAAGAATGTTCACAATACTGTAAAAATATGCTGTACGAGAACTGCACATATTTTTGTTTAAAAAAAATGTAGTACTGAAACTCAATAAATAAAAGTACATATTAAAACCCATTCAATGGTGATTTAACTCATCGAATGAAGCTGCTATGAATCTTTTACTTGTCTATTTATGGAACTTTGATGATGTGTCTCATCAATACTACAATACTAAACGTACTTTCCTATTCAGCTTGTTTTGTGAACACCAAAAGTGTAGTGATATTTGTGTCATTAACTGTCCAGAGGAAGATGTTTCGAACAATGGTATGATTTATTTCACTATTTCGTTTATATACCACAGTTATATACTACGTACATGATTGCAACTTTCATGAAGAACCGCCAATGTATACATTTTTTAAGTTGGCAATTAGATTTCAGAGGTCAGGGTCACCAACAAAGTAATCCAAAATGATTCCAAATTTCGCCGAATTGTTTGACAGTTACTGATTTGTTTTTAGCTGTACGATTTTAAACATTAATTTTTTTCAATTTATCGGGCCAAATAGTAATAAGATCTACTTAAATAAGCAATTACATACTTATTAATAGATTTATATGTAAACAGTATATTTAATGTTGAAGTTTATTCAGATACAATTAAAAATATATAACCTCCAAGTTACGAAAATTTAATTTTATCGTAATATTTTACACAGGAGACAATAATGGCAGATATTCTCATTTTGGATTGGATGGAAGAATTCGAGTCTTTGACTGAAAGTGAAATACACACATATTCATCAGAACAAGAACATAATCATGAAGTAATGGTAGCACTTTACGATATCTTGACAGAGCCTTACAGATATAAAGGACAAAATGTATGTCAGTCTTTGATGTTAACTTTACATTTAAATATTAATTTCAGCTAATTGATGGAATTTGCCAACAACTATTAGATTTTTATAGATCTGGTGAAGAACAGTTAAAGAGATTTGCACTTCAATACATACCAACATTAGTGTTTTTGCATTTAACAGATAAGTCATACACATCTATCCAGGCCCTTTTAGTTAGTTTATATAATCTGGAGGCATGATGGTAACGTTTGTGTATACATTTATCATAAACAACTGTTTTTAGGTGATAGATTCAAAAGGTCAGCCACGGACAATATCATTTAGAGTTCCAAGTATAGCTCAGTCATCAATATACCATGATTCAAGCAATTTGGAACCAGCATTTATAGCAGAAAATTCTCTGAGAAGGTGGGAAGAATGTAACAGTAAATTAGTTAGTTGGGGACCTCTGCCACAAGTTGAATGTTTAAATGCTCAGAATCGTCAACGTGTTATCACCGCACTTGTGTTCTTATATAATCAACAGTTAGCTAGTGTTATTACCCAGGGTATAGAACATACTTGTAGGGGAATATCTAGGTAAATGAATTGTTAATATTTGATTACAGAAGTAATAACAGAACATTTCAGATTAGTTTCACAAGGATTTTCTTCCAGTGGTAGTGCAAGAAGTTCGATAAATAGTGACTGTAGTTTTAATCAAGGTGTTGTCCCTCGCATCCCAGTATCTAGTCCATTACTTTTAGAGTTTCTCCATACAGTATATCATGCCGCTGAAAAAGGTGCTGCTGGGGCTGTCCAAGCTCTTCATGATATTATTCAACGTGCAAATTATGAAACGTACGCAGGTTTGTGTGTTATTTCAATTTACTATATTAAATTTGACCATGTTATAACTTCTAGAAGTACTATTAGCTGCAAATGCAGTAAAGAATCTTATTCAACATTCCCCTTCAGTGTCTGTGACCCCCAGGCCATCTCAGAGTCGTAGTATTTCAAAATCTATGATAACAAATGCCTCATTTAGAACAAAGAAATTGCCTGGTAGGTATCAAGATGACTTGCTTTATTTCAACTTTATGACTTGAGTGTGATATGCTGGAATTTGCATTACTGGTTATGTGTGCAGATGATATACCAATCCAGGATGAGCATCAAACAGAAGTACCTTTAGATTCTATAACAGAGGAACAAGAAGAGGCTGATAAAAGCAAGTCAAGAGGTTCTGTTAGTGCATTAAAGCACTTACCAAAACTGCCAGGTTTGGGGAAAAAACATAAAACAAAGAATCCTCAAGGACAAGATCAACAAGTTGAGTTGCAAAATATTGCGGGAGAACCACCAGTTGAGTCACCTCCAACAGACTTTAATCATGCTGTACATGTCAGTGCTGTTTAAATGGGAAAAATACTATGGCCGATTTAGAATATTTTAAATGATTTATTTTTTCTAACAAGGTATACAATGAAGTTAACATAGGTGTTGTGTAGCACTAGGCTCTACTAATCATCCAAATATATTTTTTAAATTAGTAATTAGTAATCAGGTATTTGGGCCTGCAATAAGTTATGACTGGAGAGTTCTGCATTTTAGAAATATTTTGGATGCACAATGACAAATTATGACATTAGCATTTTAGTGAGCAATTGCAAATTACTTTCAACACTTTTATGGGAATTTGGGTAAGGTGAAAGCTACCCCGTTGTTTTACCATTACGTTATTAATTAATATTAATCGAATAATGGGTTTGTTGTTGTACTGTTACTGTTATTATTACTATTAAGTCATCAAGTTTTAAGAAAAAGTAATTGATGGGACTGGTTAATTATATTTTGTATTGAAGTGTTTTTGTTTAATGTTTATATTAATTTAATATTAAACCAGATCTGCAGCATTAAAAAATTGCAAGTAATGTTAGTCACGTAAATTCAGGTTTCCAAGTATTTTTAATTGTTATGGTTTCACATACAAAAGTGTTTTACTCCTAGGTTTTATCATGTTACTGACATGTGGGTGTAGATTTCATTAAAATTCGAATTTTACATTTACAATATGACTACGTTAGAATACATTTATTTATCAAAGATCAACCAAGCACAATTGCTATAATTAATTGACGCAGTTTGGTTAGCGACTGTGAAATTTAATGGAATGTAGTTGCATAAGAACATTGTCAGACCAATTATTTTAATAGTAACATTAGAATAAAACCGTCGGTTGTGGAACTAAGCAGTAATAGTTTTATTTATATATTTTAAAGATGGTGAAACAATTAGTTCTTTCCTTACATACTTTGAAAATTGACAAATTTAGTAATTACAGATTTAAATAGAGAATTTGCAGTTACCTGTCAATTAGTACACAAGCGCGTCACTAAAAACATATGTTACACGGAAATTCAACAAATGTTAATTTAAGTAAAAATTACAATAAAATGAGTCTGATATTTTATTTGTAATTTCAAGTGTGTATCAACTGGGTATGGTTTCAGTATTTTTTAAATGTGCATCAAATAAAATAATTATTAACAGTTAATAACAAGGAAACATTTGATTTGTAAAAATCGATTGTTTATATTAAAACTGGTATGAATGTTCAGAAGTTTTTTTTTGTAATTTTGAGTTAACTACACAACAGTTCTAACATCTAATTAATGTTACTTCAAATGAAACCATATATTGTAGGCTTGTTCAGAGTGTACGTTGCTGAATGATAAGGCCATGTTTTATTTCATACTATAAATAATCCGTTATAAATCTTCAGGATGTAAGTTGAAGTGTCTTTCTCATTTAATATACCTACAGTGCCAAATTTTTTTAAATACTAATCATACTCAGTTCCTAAAGAATCCAAACCGTTTTTGATGGAACGTATTTTCTTTGTGTCAGTAGTACAGTGGTACAGTAATACTAGCGAATACAAAAAAAAATACTTACTAGTTGTGTCCAACTATAAGATTTGATAATTCAAAAAGTAAGCAGCAACTTAATATTCTAAATACATTAAGTATGTTACTTATTCAGTTTTCTTTAATAAGGATTTACATATTTGCTATTTAAAATGAAAATTTGTAATCTTATGGATATCAGGGCTTCTGATTAAAATGCTTAGTTAATTACTGACTCTCTTGTAATTTAAAGGGGAAGTCTTACTAAACATAAACGTTATTTGAATTTTTGTAACTTTATTGAGTAATAAGAAATACAACATTAAATAATTTTAACACAGGTGTTATTTTTCTCACTTTTTAACATGCCTTTTAGTTAGAAGCTTTTGAATATAACTTGAATTTTAACTGTAAATGTTGTATTGTTATAATATATCAATGTTAGGTCATGGGCGAGATCTGTTGTATCGTTGAATAAAACAGCCTTTAAAGGAATTCAGTCTTACATCAACCTCTCCTTCCTCTAACTAAATGATAAAAATTGTTAGGAGTTGGAAAAAAATGCTGTATTGGTATTTACTTGATCGGCCTGGTATAAGTCACGATAGCAAGATGGTGAAACACATTGTCGTACACATAAAATTTTCGAAACTCCACTTTTTCCCACACACCCTCTTTCGCAAGCAGTTTCCACTTCCCTGAACATTACCTCCTGCAACCAGAAAATAAAAAAACATTGAAAAACACAATAAATGAAAAAGTAACATTTTTATTTGATTCTTTATATGGGAATTCTGGAAAAGTGTAAGTAATTTTTTGTTCACAACTCAGACTTATTAAAATCACTATAATGAGGGCAAGGATCATCTTCAGTTGATTTTTTTTATATGATCATGACTAGTTGTAAATAAATCAATATTTTGTTTTGAAAGGGTAAATCTGCGCGCGCACTCTATTTTTACATCCATCTCTCTCTAAACTGTCGTAATACCTGTCGTCTTCATTTCTCTCTAACAATAAATTCTCCATCGCTCTCGATCAATTATTTGTGTCGTGTATCGCGGCAACCACTTGCTGATTCGAGTGATGCGATTGTCAAAATAGTGATTTGAATCGCATTAAATCCCATTAATCCCTATCTGTCAAATCGACGATTACTCCTCGAGGTAAGTCATAGAGTAGTTCAATTGTTTTAGAACAAAGCATGCTGATTGTTGTGTGACGGTTGGTTACCTTCTGTCAAACTGGGCATTTGTCTGCTTTGAACAGTACCGAAAATGTACGGAAGCATTGTTTCGAAAAAAACCTTTTTTGGGGTAGATTACAAGGATCTGGCGTTTTTCCATCGATCAACCCATCAAACCGGTTATGGTCGCTTTCCAAGTTCTTTCCTCCGGGCGCACCTGTAGCATTGGATGCCGCCGTCTCAACAAGAGCATTGTTGGACCAATGATGTTTACTTGCGTGTTCGTAAATGTAATCCCGCGTTTTTATAAGTATTGTTAGATATTTAACACTTTTTCTAGTTGTTTGTCGTTTTCAACAACGAGTAGTAATGGTATAATGACAGCGACAATGATGTAAACAAACTTTAATTGTTTGCTTTGACGGACGCCTACTTGATGGGAGAATTAATTGGTCTTATTGGTTAGGGGGGGTTAGGGGTACTATCTTTTCGTTTTTGTTTTCTATGGCCGTTTTGTGAATTTTATGTTGTGACTTTGATTAAGCTAAAATGTTTGATAATGAATCCACAGGAAGATATCCGAAATATTTAGAACTTCTGAGAGTAGAAATTAATGCTGATTGGGAACCTTTAAATTCTTGCATATGGGTATGATTTATAATTTCATGTTTTTTGGGATTTTTGGGCATAAGCAGAAAAAATACTTTGATCGAGATACTAGAAAATGTTTACATAATATAATACTAAACATTTCTTTTTTCATGTCATAAATTTATTATTATTATTTTATAGGAAACTAAGAATAATTTGTAACAAAGTATGTCCATTTTGTTTCTGCGATATCAAAATCTTGAAATAATTTAACATAGTTTCTGCGTGCAAAAGGTTGTTCTATTGCTGAAGAAAACCCATTTTTCACATTTTCGGAAATTTGAAATTTATGACACAAAACACTGGCTATTGTTCGTTAAGCCATGATCCGAAATGAGCATAGTATATGATGCTTATTTGGTCTTATGGAGCTTTATTATGATAAACAAATGCGGTATTTTTTTCAATTAATGTAGTGGATATTACACTGTAAGTAGGAATATGAAAATACGTTTATATATCAAACATGTCCTATTGAGTGCCCAAAATTTTATTTAACAAGTACTTAATTTATAATTATGATAGTGGATAGAATAATGTACACTTGCGGTAGTATCACAGTGTAATGGAAGATGTTAAATAGATAGATAAGAGCGCTAAAGATACGATAAGCGTTCCCAATTTTGAAGTGAAAGCAAAAATCGTTAACGGTACCGATGCATTGTGGAATGGATTAGGCGGAAATCAACCAAACTTGTAACAAAAAATAATTTCTCACTTATTAGTCCCTTAATTATAGTCACCTTCATTGTGACATCGAACTGTCGCTAGGATCTTCTGCCTTCTGAGATATTTCTAAATGTATACCTGTAAGCCTACACTCCAGAGATTCTTCTTACAAAGAAAATTGCCCAGCGATAATATTTATTATATTAATTACGATACGTTCTCATGTATAACCATGGTAATTCTGTATAGTGCTCAAGTCTTGCTGACTGTCATATATATATATATATATTGAATTCTTTTTCTCTAATTTTGTCTTGTTCGGTATTCATCGATTTTTGATTGATGATTTTAGTTGATTCTTAATGAATTAGAATTGACTACTATTTCCACCAGCTTTTATTTGGAAATCTTGGATAAATATTCTATTTGTTTGCTATTGTCTGAAGGCTCTTAGTTCTTTGGGAGAGTGTCGTGCCCTACGTGTTTGTTGTAGTACAGTATAATTCAGTCTTTCATAGTTTTCGAGGTTCATGTTGAGTTATATTAGTTTTTAATTGAACTTTTTTTATCGTTTTTTTGGTAGATCTGAAAATAATTCATGCAGACTGTCTCTGCTTATACGTGCCGAGTTTTTGTTGAAGTATGTTATAATTTTGGAGTTATTTTTTTATTTTAAAGAAACTGCGTTTTTTGAGGATTTCTTAAAGTTGTTTTGATTTGTTCTATGTTATTCAAATTGGTCTACATATTTTACAATCTCACACGGTGTACTTTTCAGAAACTCCACAGGATCTTGAAAAACATTTCCAACAACTAAACCTGATCTGAGTTAAGATTTAATGTGTTTTTTATTTACATATATATATTTAAGAAGTTAACTTCCCCATAATTGTTTTTTAATATGTTAATATGTACTGTTGTTCACACTGGGTTCTTTTCTATTTAGAACTAAAACTCACCACACCTTGTCTTATGTATATACCTACTTGTAATTTAATTTCTAAAAATTAAGAAAATATTATAATTTTATACAAAAACTATTTTTCTATAGCGAAAAAAATCGCTATAATTCTGTAACCAAAAATATTTATTCCTTTAATCGGAGCGACCCCGCTGGAGGTCACATCGCAGTAGACGGATAATTGGAGATTAGTTGACGTATATTTTAACTTTTAAGCAGAGGTGAAGGGTGAAGGGGCGAACACAAAAAAATGGGGGTATTCGTTATCATGATTTTTGTAACTATAATGCGACAATTCATATTGTATATTTACTACACAAATGTATCAGTATTGAAAAAATTTTTACATCACCAAAAATGATGTGCTGATAACCACGCTACTTCCTCTTATAAATGCTAAAGGGACGAGAACAGTCGAGTTATTAAAAAAAAACATATAGAAAACGATATTATCAATGAGTTTCATACAGGTTTAGAAATAATTTTTATAATCTATTGAGAGGTTATTGTCATTTCTTAGTAGTAAATGAAACGGGCAACCCATATATAGGAGAGATCGACAGAAAAACAAACTAGCATGAAGTAGGTGCGCTTAGTTAATTGCATTCTATGTTATTAATTCCTTGACAGTGATGTCATTAAAAAAAATACAACCACCATTACTGCGGAAATGACACAAAAATGTCATTTTTTGAAATGACCATAAACTCAAGAGATTGTCTTACGCATTGACGAAATGAAGAGAATCAGATCGAAAATCTTTTTGCGCAGGGAAATTCAACAAAAATACTAAGTATGTACTTTTTTTCGTCTACTGAATTAAATGAAATTTTAGCGAAGCAAAACGAACGGCCAGGTAATCTGAAATAAATGTAAAGAAACTTTATTGTTGACAATGTTGAACACGAGAAACACTACATACGTGACCCGGAAATGCAGCTGATAGTGTAACACCACGAAAACAGTTAGTTGTATTATTATTAGCTAAAGTGCTTCATCAAATGTATCTTCTTCATTTTAAAAATCATATCGTGACCTATGTTTACAATTAGTCAAAGGTGCAAATTTGACATTTGAATTGTGTTGTCGTTTATCAGGACATGGTTGTATCAGGAGTTGCTTTATGGTACCTATATATTAGGTTAAGAATTTGTTGCTTGTTAGTGATTGTTGTCAGTTCAGATTTTAGAATATACTCGTTTAAACGCCAGTGTTATAAATAATTAACAATATGTGGATGAAGTTAAATTATGGTGTAGAATACTGCTATACGTATATGTTTTGTATGCAGATACTGTTTACAGAAGTAGGTAATCTGTACTATTAATGCGAGGTACAAGATTTGACGACCCCATAAACAACTCAGAACCTCAGATCCTATTGTTTGGAATAGTTTTCAAAATATTCTATTTAATTCTCTTCAATTTTTTTTTAAATCAATTATATCTCTAGTTGTTTGATACGGGAATCCATGTATTCCTTTGTTCATGGCGTGGGTTTATCCGGCACTTGCTTATAGATTTGATTGTAAAAACCAAATGTGTTTTTAACAACTCCTTTGAACAAATTGCGTGGACTCAACATATTTGAAACCCATAACTTTGCTATGTAAACGATACGTTTATCATTTGGACCCATAGCAAGAATATACTTCCAGTCTTCTGGAATCTCAACAGTCGAGTACGCCAATATCAAGTTCACGATAGAACTCGAAAATATTATATTTTTTCTTTTCCTTAGTGTGTTAGTCAAACGTTTATCGAATGGTTGTCTAGGCCGTCCGTTTATCGAAAAACTACACGCAGACCACAATTTTCATGCTGAATTTCATCCCGAATCCCGATAAGCAAATTCCGTGTACTACTGCTTTTTCCATGTATTCATAAAGTAACAGATCGTGTGGTGAAAATTCTGAAAAAACAATACAGGACCATTTTTAAATCACTTTTTAGTAGCCTGTGATGTACCTTCTCCGACTGACAAACTCGCGGAGTTATTGTCTAAGGGGCCAATTTCAAGTTCGCCACTTGCGCTAACGCAACTCGCCACTTTGCGACACTGGTTTGCGTCAATTGTTATCCTGAATTTTCAAGTTCAAAATTGCCTTTAAAACAAGGAGGGCATAACAACACCTTAGCTTTCCCGATAATCTTTCTTCATTTTCACCATAATATTTGAATAAATTAACAACAACACCCACTAAAACCTGCTGGGCGATCGTTATTTTCCCCGATAACAAAGCGAAATATTGCAAACACTTCGGTCACCCACTAGATGTGACGCAACCTCAACGTTGCAAATTGCAGGGGAAAATTAATTCTTTACGTAACGAGGGTGTACTTACATCGGTGAAGTGACTTGCGTTAGCGGAAATATGACCAATTTGAAATACCCCTAAATGGTAATTGATCGTATTCCTTGTTCATGTGGTCGTTTCATGAAAAAGAGATTTATCAAACACCAACTTTGCATTTTGCATTCCATCTGGTTCGTT